CTGCAGGAGCAGGAATGCAGAGTGCCTGCCAGGAGCAGAGGAGACACTCAGCCCTTGGGAACAGGAGGGAGCCCTCACTTGTCCAGGGCCAGCCAAGCCCTGTGGGAGCTGCCCAGGACGAGGATGACACATCCAAGAGCCAGGGACCCACAGCTCCATCCCAGGGAGGCTCCAACACACGTTCCTCATGCACCTAGGCTGAGCTCTCACACAAACCTCTCCACTCTGCTAAGGCAGGACCTTAAAGCTTTGAGAGGGTTTGAATTCTGTTCTCAGGGTTGTTTTTTTAAATTAATATTTCATTTTCTATTCCTATTCACTCCTCATACACCGAGCTCCTGCTGACATCAAATGCCTGGTTTGCCCTGAATGGCTATTTATACACAGGTATGTTTTAAATCTATTCTAACTTTAAAAATTACATCCAAGTGTCCATGTAAACACAAATTCCATCAACCACGAAAAATTCCTTTCACTTATAGGCATAGTAGGCAAGTAAAAAAAGATTATATTGCATGTTTAAAAATTTATTCCTCCTAGGAACAACTTCACACTATTTTTCCCCAAAGCTGTTGGATCTTTTTCCTGTCCTGAAGAAAACATTTCAAGGCTGCTCTGGAGAGCCAGGTAACATGCAAGATTTGGATATTTGCTGACTTTGGAGTTCTCCATACAGCCCATTCCTTTCACATGGACACAGTTCCAGTATCAGATCTGTCCAAAGCATGGACCAAATGCTTTTGGAAAGGCTGAAGGTATGGCCATGGAGGCTGCAGCATGAAGTTCTTCCTTCAGTGGCCAGCACTGCATTCCAGAGCTGCCTGGGAATATACTCTGTCCTGTATAAAAGGGTTGAACAACTCCTGCAGCCAAACTGGACTCACAGGGCAGGCAGGTGCCTGCTCTTTCATAAAAGACAATGATTTAAGCCTACAACATGATGCTGCTGCCACATATGGGGCACGTGCAGAGAGAAAATCAGGTACCAGGGTATGTGGAAGCCTAACCTAGAAAGTACCTACTCATCAGAAAGTAAAAAAAGCAAAGAATTCCTGAAAGGAATGAGCTTAGAGAAATGGGTTGTGGCCCAGATTCAACACAATGGACTAAATCACTTTGACAAATCCTCCAGTGCTTCCTGCAAGTGTAAAAGCCCAGCAACAGGCAGCTTGGAACACTTCTATGAGGAACCAAGTCCTCTCTTGTGCTCCAGTGGACAGAAGAGGAGAAAGAGAGCCTGCACCTTATTGCCAATCCCCAAGAATGGCTGTTCTCACACTTTTATAAACACTTGGTCTCCATGGAAGGGGGATACCTAGCAGCAAACATTGGCAACCAAGGACATTCCACTCCCACTATATCCTCCACAACAGCAAGAAGGGGGAAAAAATCCATAAGGCTGCTTTGATTAGGAACCCTTTGAGAGGACTTCTTCAAAAGTGAGTGTCTGAAAATACCTTGAAATGTGGGAATGTGCAACAACAGCCAGATAGGGGAAAACAGGCATCTTACTTTATTCTGAAAGCATTCACACTTCAGCCCAAAGTGGGAACATCCATTAATCCAAGAATCTTTTGCCAAGAACAAGGTCATCATTTTCTTTTTAATTCACAACATATTCTGCACCAAACAGAGAATCTCATCATTTACAGGTGTTTGAAGCCAGGTTTGAGTTTAATGCGTACTCTCAACTTGTAAGAACTTTATTATACTGGGTTTTGTCTTCCCTGCAGGTCAGAGGTCTGCAGCTCTTTAAAAGCCACCAGTAAGAATGAAACAAAAAGTGCACAAGGGGTTCTGCCCCACAAGGGGGGTATAAACAGACAAATTCTTTCACTGCCAGAAGTATTTATACATTAACACATTCTTGGACTGTTGATAATTCTAAAACTGAAGACCTATTCCTGTGTATACATTACTACAACAATCTAAACCAAGTTTATATTTTACTCCACATTAAGAAAATTAAGCTTTAATGAGCTCAGATTCTCCTTGAGCTGTTTGCTCATTGCAGTGACAGTGAGCCCCAGCCATGGAGCAAGGCATCATTGTGCTGAGTCCTAGGAAGAATTAAATGGTGCAAGTTGTTCTACCAAAATAACCACCAAAAAAAAAATATAAATCACATTACACTCAACTGGAAACAAAAGGAAGGGCTAGAAGTGGGAGAAGCATGGGGGTTGCAAATTCTCAATTTCACTGTCATGGTTAGGAAAATGTGGCAGCAAAGCAATGCAACCTTATTTCTAAATAAACAAAAAGATTGGTCAGTCTGCTGATGCAAGACAGACTAAAGAGAACAAGAGAACTATTAAATTATCTCCACTTCTGGGATTCTGGCTATTCTTTTGCAAAGTGAATGGCTTATGCTAATCAGGATGCATCTGAAATGCATCATTCAAGCCTTCTTGTGCAAATACAGTTCTTATTTATCCCAAAAGATCCCCACCAGCTGGCAATGTTTGCATACAATGTTAAACCCAACCTCAAGAGCCCATGCATTATGAGTCATTTTACACTTAAAAACATTAGTTCCCTTCAGAGTTCTCCAAGACCGTGTATCCCACGAGAAGAATTTTAGTGGAATTCAGCAATAATACACTATGTTACCATCCAACTTCCTCCAGCACAAAGAAGTTACAAGTTTTCTGTTGTTCGGTAGGTTTGGGGTTTTTTTCCCTCCTAACAGTGCTTTTCCTCCAGAACATTTTTGGGGAAGGAACAAAAGGATTTGCACCAATCCCTTCTACATGAATCAAATATTTATGCTATACCCTCTTGAAGCACTTTCATCTAGTAACCTATGGAATGTGATCTCCTGACCTCAACACTCAGGCACGTCTAAATCAGCTGCCCTTTGAGCTGTGTTAGAGGCCACAGAGAATTTTTATACATTTGTATCAGGCATATGAAAACCTTGTGGCCCAGCTGTGGCATTCTCTGCCACAAAGCATTAGTGCAAAGTGTGCTCTGGGAAAGGGGAATGCTTTGCTTGTCCCATGTTCATGGCACAATCTGATGTTGTGTGTCACCAGAGCAGGCAGGGTGATGAACCACGCTATCAGCACATGAACCAGCCACCACAATTTAAATTCAAGTGTCATGGCAAGCTCCAAGATCATATCCCACATGGCCATCCTGCCCAGCTCCCTTCTGCCTCCAGCCCCCTCCCCAGGGCAGCCAGCAAAAATCCTCCAGAATCCAAAAGGCAAAGCACTTGTGGGATGAGCAGGCACCGCATTCCCTCCTTCTGGAAATCCCACCCTTTCCTCAAGAAAAATAAATCATTCTTGTCTTTCTGGCTCGCAGGAATCTTTGAAGGATGGGGTTATGTTGCAAATAAGTGTCCTGGAAGCACAAGAGAGGGAGACCAGGTGTCCCAGATGAACCTGCAACTTCAACTACAGCACAAATTTTTCCAGGCTCAGCTCATGAGCCTGCTCCCTCAAGGAGCAATCACTGAGGTAACCCTGGTGAAAGTCTGACCCAGAGATTTAACAGGGTCATGGGCCTGATGGTAGGGCTCATGTTTTCACAGCAGCCCTGAAAAACCGACGTGATGCTGCCCATGCTCACACGGGAGCAGCACGAGGGCGCAGGGAAAGCTCCAGAACACAGCTCCAGTGTTCCCACCCTGACCTGGTAGAAAAGGCTCGGTGCCCTGAAACAGTCAAGCAGAAAAACGTGAGACAGCAGCCAAAAGCAAGCCCCTGTCCTCTGTCCCAGGAGGGATCCTGGGCAGTCCCCTCAAGGTGCCCCAGTGGCTGCTGCACCTCAGCAGAGACCGAGGCATCCCCAGGCCTGAGGGCCCAGCAGCTCACAGCACGCTGCCTTGCTGCCCCACCTATCCCACCTTCTCTTCCCACACAAATCCCTCCAGGGAAGAGGAAGGGAAAAAACAAACCTTAAAAAAGAAAGAGGAACAGGGAGCAGGGCAGACCAACATGAAGCATTTCCTGTATCATCCACAGGAAAAACCCACGCAGCGGGGAAGAGCTCAATGTCAAGGCTGGTTCCACCACATGAACAGGCAGTTCCTCCTGCTGGGGGATGCTGTGTGATCCCACAGGGAACAATACAATCTTCCCTGACACAAGGAGTCCCACTAGCAGCCACACAAAATTCCACAGGTCCTTCCCTTGCAGAAATGCCTGCTAGCAAAGAAGGAAGGAGGAATGTGGGTACAGAGCTGGGGGAGAAGGAAAATGAGACATGCACTGTGGTATTATCAGTTGTAAACCAGGACACACTCAGCACTTGGCCCCTACAGAAAGGAGGATTCTGCAAAATATGTTTCCCTGCACAGAGACTGGGCCTCCATCCAGTTATTATGTGCACATGTCCCTGCTGCGTTTTCAGTCTTACTTCGGGAAGAAAAAATCTCAAAACAAAGAAAACATCCCCTCATATTCACTGTGCACAGTGCCAAGCGTGCTCCTGACCATGTTCAATAATCTGTTAAGGCGTGCTAATTATGGGTGCAACACTTTTGCACCTTGTGACACAGCAGTAAAGCACTTAATGTAAAACAAATTCCAGTGTGAAACAAGAAATCAGCCGATCGTGGCAGCCCTGTTTGCACGTGTGATACAGAAATGCACAGCGATGCTCCCCGGTGCAGCACGACCAGCAAAGACAATCTCAACACGTGGATTACAAGCACAATGACTGCAATTATTTTCTCAAAAGAAAAGAGCACCACAAGAAATGGCTGCTTTCAAACACAGCCTGACACAAACCCATTTGAGCGACTTCCACCGAGTTTTACTCAATCCAATTACACACAAGTACATCACTATTCGTTTTGGCAATTTACTACCACTGGTGAAATAGGTGGATGAGCGTATTTTGTTCTTTTTTTCTTTTGCAAGATGAAAAGCAAACTTTACAGGAGAGAGAAGTGATGGACAAAAGCTGACAGAGAAGAGAGCCAGTCTAAATCCCAGGTTAAGGCTGGAGAAAGAATGCAGAGTCCCTTGCAGCATGAGCACATCTCTTACCTACTGATCTGCTGAAGACAAAAGGGTTTTCTTCTTTTCAGAAACTGGACACTTGTAGCTCGTTGGGTCAGTCACACAAAGCTTCCCTGCTGCCAAAGGTATTCTTTTTCCCCTGGGGTTTTTGTTGTTGTTGTTTGGTTTTTTACCCCAGAGAGTAAAGGGCAGAACAGTGGATTCAGCAGGGGCAAAGGGTGGAATTCGAGATTTAACGGGCTGGAGAACGGCAGAGCTCTCTCCAAAAGATGCTGTATTTCAAGGCGCTTTCATTTGCAAATCCTTCTTCATCCTCAGTGTCAATAAAACTGGAGGAGGGGGAGTAAACTTTTTTTAACCGCAGAAATAAACCGGACTCCACAGTGCGGGGAATGTGATACGAACTGGATTTGTGGCTCGACTTTTTATTAAAAATAAATATACTTTCAAAACAGGCAATCGAGCTGGAAGGGGGGTTAAAAAAAAAAATCCCAGAGTCAGCCAGGACCTGCCCGCGGTCGCTGGGAGGAGGATAGCGGTACCTCGAGAGCGGCAGAATAAACACAAAGAGGGGAAAGTCCGCGTCCGGCGGTGGCAGCTGGGCTGTCAGTGGCAGCGCCCGCGGCCCCGGCAGCGAAGGGCGGCCCGCGGCATCGCGCCCGGCCGGGCTGCGCTGGGTTCGCTGCTCCTCGGTTACCTGTGCGCGGCGGCGGAGCGGAGCGGGGCCGGGCTGGCGGCACGGAGCGGGCGGAGCGGGCGGCACGGGCGGCTGGGCTCCCTCCTCCGCCTCCTTCCGCTGCTGAGGGCGCGGGCGGCCCGCGGGAGCGCCGGGCCGGGGCGGGCAGGAAGCGCCGCCGCCCCCGGGCCCGCCCCGCCCGCCCGCGGCACCGCCCCCGCTCCGCTCCGCTCCGCCCGCCGCCGCCGCTGCTGCTGCCGCTATTGTGCGCGGACACACGGACACACGGACACACGGACACACGGAGCGGCCCGAGCCGACCGCGGGGAGCAGCGCTGCGGGACCTGGCCCCGCACACGCACCCCATCCTGTGCCCGGAGCGGCGCCCAAACGCTCCTGGAGCTCTCTGGGGAGCCTGGGCACTGCTACAGCACCCACCAGGGCAAGAGAACCTTTCCCGAATTCCCAGCCTGAGCCTCCCTGACACAGCTCCAGCCGCTCCCTGCGCTCCTGTCCGTGCTCACAGAGAGAGATCGGAGCTGCCCCTCCAGTGCCCCTGGGAGGATGTTGAAGACACAACGAGGTTGAACACACCAAGTGACCTCAGCCACTCGTCATAAGAGTTTCCATCTAGACTTTCCCCATCCTCGTGGCCTCCTTTGTACACTCTTCTAAAAGCTTCATATCTTTTTTATATTGTGGTGCCCAAAACGGCTCAAAACATTCAAGGTGAGAACACCACGGTGCAGAGCACAGCACAGCAGGACAATCCCCTGCTGGCCTGGCTGGTGATGCTGTGCCCAGTGCCCCCCAGGACAGACTTGGTCCCTCTGCCACACCTGGGCAGCTGTGGAAGCACCCACAGGAGTCAACCCCACCAAACCAACCTGCCCAACCCCTGGACTAAAATGGCTTTACAGCAATGTACACCAGCCCAGGACTCACCCCCCTTTTTGCTGGCCAAATGCTGAAAATAAATGAAAGCAAGGCAAGAACTGATCATGACTAACTGCATATAGGCAGGGTATTAAAGGAGATCCCTGTATATAATGTTCTACTTAAAACCAAAATGTACATCATGTGATCTTCCAAAGCTTAGGCTATCCTGAAAGGAAATATCCACAGACCTCTACTACTCTGCCACAGCTGGAAATAATGGTCAGTGTGAAAATATGCGACTGAAGACACTTCAGTTCTTCCCACATACAACTCTGATTTTGCTGTGTTTCAGCATTTTATCACACGATAAAAGATGGTGGCCACATTCAGAGGTGGCTTTTGCTGAAGGCTTTAGTGCCTGGAATCAGAGTGTGGAATTTCAACTCCTGAAACAGTTTATCTTTAAGCATTCCACAACCTTTACAGCAAAGCATGGACTCACCACCTTTTTGTGCATGTGACCCCATCCAAAAGCCTGTAAAAGGATCCCAAAATGCTGCTAAAAAGAAATACTTAAGGCAGTCTTGTTTTGGAAGACCTAATAGTGGATTAGTAATGGCAGTAACACAGTCAGCTCTGCAGAGGAACCAGCCTTTGCACCAGAGAGGCAAAGCTCTTGTTCTGAAATGGGCTAAGCAACACCAACTTCTGCTCACCCCATCCCTGTAATCAGGGCAAAGCCCCAGTCTAAACAAGGCCCAGAGATAACAAACTGGTCCTTCAGTAGGGACTTATTTGTGTACAAACAACCTACCCTGCCTTTCTCACAATCCACCTCCTCCTCCAGCTTTTGCATAGGGAGCACTGGAATCCTCCCCCAGCAAGGCCATTCCTGTCCTGAACTCCAGAGGAGGACAATCTCCCAGTGACAGCTTCCACTTGGCTCCTGCTCATTACCTTGTAATTTCAAAAAAAGAGCGAAATAGAAAACTGAATGCAGCTGTCAGGGTGTGTTCACAGCTGATTTAATACATAAAGGCCTGATCATGCAAATATGAAGCCCACTAAGCAGTCACCAAGTTGGTAAGGTTTGAGGCTAAGATGCCACCTGTGTCCAAAAAAAACCTGAAAGTGCAAAAACTGCATTGTGAAATTTGGCTTTCATGTGAGGAGAGATGGCATGATTCAGCCATTTACCTTTTAATCACTCTGAGCAAATAAATCCTTTCCAACATTCCCAAATGTTAACATTGAAAAGAAAGACTTGGCCAAAAATTCAGGAAGTCGAATTACAGAAATCCCAAATACAGCATCTACAAACATCTATTTTTTTTTCCCCCTCATAACCAACATTCATTCACTGGAATGTTTTAATGGAAGAAATGCAGAAACACATGTAAACAGCTCATTAACATCCCATAACCTTACAGTTTGAAACGCCAAAGGAAAAAAAACAGACAGTGGAGAAGCAGCTACTGAAGGCAACATTTGCTGGATGCTGTGGGGCAGCGTCGTAAGGGAAATTAGCACAGCTAGAGCGAGGGAAAGAGTTATAAACTGTGCTTCAGTCACACATCCTGTCTCCCTCCCACACGCTCAAAGAAAATATGGGAGTAAAGAGAGGAGGCAGAGCCATCAGGAAAGCACAAGCATTGCTTCACGCAGGCACTGGGGAGCAGCGAGCCTTGCCCGAGGCGCGTTAACCTCTGCTGCCTATTCCAGGAGCACGGCTCGTGTTCAACCCACACAAGTGGAGATACCAGCCTTATCGGGGCTGCAAAAGAACAAAGCTGCATGAAATCCAAACTCTCTTCCTTAAAGCATTCTCCCCCTGTATCCTCCCTTCACCCAGCTCCCCGCCCAGGCCGGTGCTCAGGAGCTCCAGCACACATCTGAACGGCTGCCAGCGGAGGAAGCGAGCAGTTTCCATACACACATCACGCCACAATGTGGGAATTCAGGAAACAACACAAGAAAGGGGTTCCTAATAACTGTTCCAGCGTGCTCGGGCCAATTTATGCAATCACACAAAGGTCACGGTGGTTGTGCTAAAAAGCACAAAAGATAAGCGCTACAACGGCAACTAATTCAAAGCAGGAGAATAAATCTCGGGCTTAGGAAAACCTAGAGTTGCTCCACCTACAATTTTTTAAGAGGCTGTCCTTCACATTCTTTAAAATTCCTCCATCTTAAAGTTCCTGCCTGCAGGAATGGCTGTAGCTCAGGCGCCCTTTGTCCGCAGCAGCTGGAGCTCAGGAAGCTGCTGATATTATCCCTCCTGTACAGACACAGCTCAGCTCAGCATCCACTCACCACTGCACAGGGCCCTGAATTCATTTCCCTGCAGCTCTGATCTCGGGCCAGTTTAACAGAGCTTTTCTTCTCGCACATAAAAATAAAGTGTTAGCAGAGCTCAGAAGTGGCATTTAGCTCTTGGGGCCAGACAGAACGTCCCCACCAAAGTGAGGGGTTCTTTGTGTATAAAATACATTATTGGGCAAAATAATGACCCTGCAGTAAACAGACAGTAATACAAAGAAACAGGAAAAAAAGCTAAGAAGAGGAACTGAGGATGTTTGCCAGGAGCAAGGAACAGGAATTTCTGAAAAGGGAGAGTGTATTTCTTGTCATAGAAGACAAAGACAGAATCCCAGAATGGTTTGGGCTGGAAGGGACCTTAGAGCTCATCTCATTCCATCCCCTGCCTTGGACAGGGACACCTTCCACCATCCCAGGTTGCTCCAAACCCTGTCCAACCTGGCCTTGGACACTGCCAGGTGTGTTTGACAGATACTCATTGAATAAAAGGAAGTAAGTGAACAAACAACACACGTTTGGGAACACAGATCAAAACAAGACTAAAAGATTTCAAAGCCTTGTAAAAATCACAAGAAATGTGTGGAGAAAGCACCAAGGTACCAGAAGGCTGAGTGGTTGGTCCAAAGTCAGGCTGGGAGTTCAGTCTATACTGGCAGATGCCCAGCCTTGCTGCCCACATGCAGTGAGCTCAGACAGCTTTTGCTGCTGGTTCACCACCTGGTTTTAGCACCCAGCACCTTCAAGGTGTCCATGGCCATCTTTGAGTCCTTTGCAGAGGATTTGGTGATGCTGCCACATCCAGCCCTGAGCTGTAACAAGGCCTGAAAAGCACCCTTGGGTTCTGTGTTGGGTATGGCTGGAGAGCAACTACAATTTCTGAATGGAAAGGGAATCAGACAGATGAGAGACTGAGGCATGAACTACACGAGTAATTATTCACCAAGATGGCAAGAACAGCTATTCACAGATCAAGAGCACCAGAAATTACCACCATCAAACTTGACATGCGTGGAATTGCTAGAAAAATTCTATTCTCAAAACACACAAGCAGGAACAGTTACACACTACTAATTCCTCTGGCCTTCACTGAGTAACTGCTGTGTCTCTCCATACAAGTGTATTATTTTACCAATTCTACACAATAAAACTTTGATGACCACATAACTTCTGGGAGGGAAGTAACTGATACAGAAACCTCTGCAAAGCCAACTTGATGTCCTGTCTCTCCTGTGATTTACACTGTAACACAGCCCCAGCTCATCTAAGATTTTTCATGCTGCTGTGTGTGAAGAGTTTTAAAAGTCTGTCAGTCTGGGAGGTGCCTCTAATGGATTGGAACTCAAGTGCAGCGTGGTTCCTGGGGTGAAGAAAAGGCCTGCAAGGAAGGGGGAGAAAAGGAACAGCTTACCACAGTGAAATGTAATATAGAGGTCAGCAGTGACATGTCACCCGTGAGGTGATTGATCAGGTACCACCTGTAAGGAGAATTATTCTAACTGCTGAACCTTGGCCCCTGTCTGTGCAGAGCTGCAGAAGAGAGCTGTGTATCCAGGAGAGTGGTAAACAACTGCCAACTATGGAAAAACAAATGTTGCAGCTTTGCCCTAAACACATTCACACCTCAGTGCCCTGCAGTTAAATGCAGTTTGGGCAAAATAAGGTTAGTCTGGACAAAGTGATTTCCTTAAAAACACTGTTCTCC